CATTCACGCTATCTCCTCTTCTTAATTGGTCTCAGACATTGCAGGAAGCTAGTCCCCAAGACTTGTCAGCCAGCCAGCCCACAGATGTTTCAGAAAGAAAACCAGGTCAGCATTAACAGGTTCACTTCTTTGGCTCTAGGCGACAGGTCAGCAGATCAGTGTCTGCTCTCTGCAGCTGGCAGGTTCCGCTGAGGGAAAATGGTCCTTAAGCATTGGCCTGAATTCCTGTCAAATCTGCACTTCTCTCTACAAGCCTGGACAGCAAGCATGCAAAACAGCTCTAGCAGCTTAATGCGATATCATCACCGAAGCCAACTAAATTTACCCTTGCAAACTGAAGGACAACTATAGGTACTCTCCAAACCCATGCTTCGTTAAACCTAGGAGTCCCTGCAGGTCAGCCTTACGCTGTAGGCGTCAGGGGGCTCAGACCTGCCTTCCAACGTAACCACAGTTAGATGCGACTCAACAACACCAAGACCATGACTGGAGCCTCTGAGCAACACAGAAGAGTCCAGGCACACTACTTTTCTTTCTGATACATCAACCTCACCGTTAATTTCCATACTGTATTCCGTGGCCTTTCAGAAAAGGACAGCTGATCTCTCCATTGCTTCCCTGTGATGGGCATGGGAAGAAGGAAAGTGACTCTGAAAAGTAAGAGGAACAAAATCTTTTGCTTTATCTTCCTGACACAAACACCGAGCTTGAGCTGACAGGACTATCTGCAATAGAAAATGGTGCCCCCAAAAAGGGAAGACCTACTTAAATGGGTCATTATCAATATATTGGATCTCCTTCCAATCCTTAATTATGCTAACATCAAAAATCTATCACTGATACAAAATAATTCTGCTGTGTATAAAAAGATCTTTGAGGCCAGCAGGTGAAAATAAAAACTTCATATAGTCAGTACTTCCAATTAAAAATCCAAAACCAAAAACCAAACAAACAAAAACCAAAACCAAAAGAAACCAAAATGAACAAAACAAACAAAAACCCCAAAAACCAAACCAAAACAAAAATCCCACATTACTATTTATTGTCTCTCAAAAAAATGCTTGGACTAAAACTCCTCTGAAGCTGTTGCTTATGGTCCACCTGTCAGCCTTCACAAATTCACATAACCTTTCAGCAAAACACCAACCTTTCAAAACTTGTAATCTTCTGCCACTTATGGATAAATACAAAGACAAATTTAGCATTAACCCTTGTCAGCTGCTATTGATGACTATCAGTGTCTGACTTACTAACCGCCTCATCTTTAAAACATACCTGACGCACATCATTTTGCATCATTCAGTACTCCAGGGTGTATCTATTTATGGATACCAAAATCACCTGGCTAATTCATTAGAGGACAAAGGCAACACCGGCCAAATATAGACGAGCAGCGGCAAAAAAGGCCTTATTTAGATGAAAAGCTCACAGAACAAGGACCCTCATTTTTCATTTGGGTATCTTCTACATGCCATAGAAGGGAAAGTCAGAACAGTGACAGTGCTGCTCTCGAGGATACAATTCTAAGGCTTGCTGTGGGGAGAAAAGACCCAGGCTTTGAAGAACTCCTATTAAGCAAGACAAAAGGAAGACTGTGTGGTGTAAATAAGAAGTTTACAGAGTTGGTTGGAAAAACATTCTACTCTGTATGCCAGTAGAGAAATATGCACAACTCTTTTTCATATCAAGTTACCACCCTAAGTGCTGGACAAGGAGACAGTGATTGCACACATGTAGCATTAAATACATTTTAAAAGATTTGATAGCAACAACGAACAATTTTCATTAGACTAGCTGACGCTTCTTCAGGTGCCCAGCTGATGTTTTTACATCAGGCTGAGCCTGCCAGACTGGAGCAGAAAACCAGTTTTCTCCAGCAGCAGGAGAAAGGATGCCATCTCGTGGGTGGTTTTGCACACTGTCACCCCCCTTTTCTTGCAGCAACCTTCCAGAAATATTTTCCTGTTAAAATACATGTTGTTGAATGGCAGTCAAGAAACTACCTGGAAATACCTCTAAGGTAATAGTCTAACTCTGAAAGAAACAACCAAATCTGTCATGATTAACATGATTCTTCAGTGAAGAAGGTCAACAACTCAATTACACAAATACCAGACTTTGAAGAAATACAAACTATATCAGCACATCCTGTAGAGACAGAGTACAAGCAGCTTGTTTTCTCAGCACAACTCTTTCCTAATAACAAAGTCCTACAACAGCCATACGTTAGTGTCCTTCTCAAAGAGAGTAAACTGGAAAATAAGACTTTCTACTCACAAAGCAAGAATTTCAGAATTTAGTGGTTTTTTCCTTCTACATTTGAAACCAAATCCTACAGCGGGAATATCAAATCAGAGCGACACATGACAAATGTATGAAAATCCCTGGCAGCATAACAGTAACATACAAAAAAGACCTACAAGACAAAATTACAACCACAATAAGAGACAGAGACAACTATACTGCAAAGTAGGCAGTAAGAATATTAAGACATCAAAAGGACATATAACTATACACAAAAAAGATTATGTAGATTCATAATGTGTATACATGAACCATACATAATTATGGTATTCTTTTAGTATCTGGGTATGGTCCAGCTTACAAGTATATTATATAATGCGCAAGCATAATTCCAAAGGCAAATTCTGGAAAGAACACTACGCAACAGTGATGCAAACACACCAACATGCTCTAGAGCTAAAGCTGTCTTTGTTTCCATCGTTTATGAGAGCAAGAGGAAAACCCAGGAGCTTACAAGTGGAATCCAGAACTAGCAAACATGAGATTAGCCTTGGAGTAAACTGTTAATGAACTTGTTTTCCCCCCAAAAGGTGAAGCATTATAAACACTTAGCTCTTTCATTGTTACCAAAAAGAGACTGGTACTAAAACAGTAGGATTACCACTCCACTCCTAAAAGCTGCACCTCCTTTCCAAGTACTATGACATAAAATTATACTTGAAATTACACTCGTAGGTCTGATCATAAGCCAATCTGACAAAAAGCCTGCTGGGACCAGGCAATCAGTGAACAGAAACCACCGAGAGCAGACACAGAACAAGCCCTGTGGAAGCGCTGGAGGAAATGAAAAGCCATCCTCTCCTAAAACAGCACACGCTGTACACACTTCCCTTACATTCTCTGTACCAATGAAAAATGTGGTAAGATGAGAAATCCTAAAGCATTCCCTTTTTCCTTGCTTATCAAGTTATTAGCAAACAGCATATTGCTCTGGCTCTTTGGGACAACCATCCAACTTGTTCTTATTTTCTTCTACTATGAGATGAGCAATTAACTCTTCCGAAACCTTCACCAGCAGCATACTCTAGGAACCTGACTAGGGCAATGATCTCTCATCATCTTCATATTCCTGACCAAAAATGAATATAATTCATGCTGTAAGAAGTCTGAGCAACAAAAAAAAAAAAAAAGAGAGGGAGGTGGGAATCATCCAGTTCCACTTGCTACAATTGCGTGTAGAAGATGATTTTTCTCAAGAGCAATTCCCTTGTCTGTATGAGAAGACGCCATTAATAGCACTAAACAATATGGCCCAATCAAAAACCTAACACTTTACAGCGAATATTCTGATTTTAAATGAAGGAGTTATTAGTCTTCAACAGGCAGAATCACTTGGTTCCATTTCTCTCCCACTGTGAAATTACCTCATTAAACCTTTAACAGCTTGAGGTAAGTAAAAAGCTTTTACTCCACTGTCTGATAGAACAGGTTTTGTGAAAAGGATTCTTAGTATTTCTGTCCATTCCTTGCCATAGGAGATTTAGCACAGTTCTAACTTCATCTAAATGTATGTATCCTCAGCAGATGCGGGAGAGAATCTCAAGCATGCTACCTACTAGCATGCCTCTAGAAAAAGGTTCGTTATTAAACAGAAAACACTGAGAAAATTAAGGGGGCTTTCCCAGGTTGAACACAAGTATCTTTTACATGAAGCAGTAATGTGCCCAAATCACACGTGCATATCCAAACACTCCTACTTCCAAACAGTCCCAGCAGTGTGCAGACGCAGCTCTGTTCTTGTGCACATGTAATGAATGGAAAAAAAGAAACAGACAGGTAAAAATCGGTTCTGTGGTTCATGTTGCAGCTCAGGCCTCCATCCAATATGAAAGGTGGTCTGTACTGCAATGCTTATAGCAAGACAGTTATTTACAAAGAAGCATCTGTCCTTCTAGGGTAAGAACAATGTAAATATTTAGAGAAAATAAAGCAGTGCTGAAACATACGACACACAAAAGCATTGTAGTGACACAGAAAACCCTCTGCAGTGGAAGAAAATCATCACCAGATGCACCATTTCAAGCCCTTTTTTATACCACGTACATACCAGAGACCTTAAAAAGTATGGTTCAGTGCTCCAGATGTCAGAAAGAGCTGTTAAGTAACACTACAGAAAGAGACTAGCTGGTGTTACAAAACACTATTTGGGGGGCTGGATTTTTTCCCCCTTTTATAAGAAACTGAGTGTATTTAATTTCTCTTGTTAGATAAAATAACTAAATTAACAAATGTTCTTCAGCTGCTTTAGGGAAGAAAAGTCACACATCATGATCTGGCAGTTTATTTTGATATCCAGATTTCAAAGAAATCACATTTACAACAGTTTGTTACAAGTAACATATGTTCTCTTCCAATCCTAAAATTCTTAAAAGTTCACTTATTAAGCTTAGCAGAATCTCTAACTAAACATGAACATAGCTATACGCAAATAGTTCAAAGAACTCAAAATTGAACCTTGGCTTCAGAGACATTGGTCAAGCTGCCTTGGTGAAAAACGTTTGTTAGTTCCCAAAGGTACTTTATAACAGTTTGTATCTTAAGGTTCTACTTATCCATAACAAAAAGTACTGGAAAGGCTTCCACATGAAGAAGCAATAGCAAGAAAGCATGACCAACACACTTCAGAGATCAGATAATTACAAGGAGAGGGAAATGGTTTAGAAGTTTTACCTGCCTCCAGAGCTGTGAGAACATACCTGATATTCAAGCCAGTGCTCTGGTCCAGTTTCTCCCAGCTTTTTAATTTTCCCAGAAGTTTCTGAAGCAGAGATCAAAAAGAAGAGTTAGAGACACAGACAAATGTTCTAACTGCTCATTTTCCAGACAGTGTTCTCATAATTCTCCATCCAAACTCAGTGTCTTTTCCTGTAGATTTCATTATCTTCTTATCTACCACTTTTCGGTTGACATTCTCCAGCACTCACAAACATTTTCCCTGTCACCACAGCTATATGACACAAGAAACCCATGTTAGACATCAGGACTATAGATTATCTAACCCTCTGAGCCACCATCACTGTACTAGACCTTGGCAAACTAGACCTTTGGCAGTAGACAAGAAAATTTATATCCTCAGCACCAGTTTCGTAGCAGCTGAAGTGCCCATTTCTCCCTTTCCAGTTTCTCCTATAGCATTTTATTTTCAGTCAATACCAGATAGTAGTATCTAAACCTGATCAGACACCACTATAGTTCTGCACATCAAGAAGTTCACACGCTTAGGTTAACCTCTTGACATGTATGCTTGATACAGGGTGGGATGGAAGCAAGACAATTTTATTCATTGGCGACCACGTTCCGGCCCTGTTAGCATCGGCAGCAATCCACGTGTGTATCCGGGCTCTTACCACATGCCTGTTCGGCAACACCATCTGGGCATAGCTTAACGCCAAAAAAAAAAAAAAAGAGCATTTCCAGCAAAAGAAAGGTAAAAGCAAGACAGCAAAAAAAGACATAATGATGAGATCGATCTTTACAGAAAATCTGCAGCTGAACAGTAGATATCCTTTTGCCTTCTCCACCTTCATCACCATAGCTCCCCTCAGGCTGATATTTTAAGTTTGGGAACACCTAGGTCGAACCCGTTAATTAAAACAGGTATCATATCTCAACTAACACAATATAGGAAGAGCCTAACAGACAGGATAGGCAACAAAGGAAACCCCTATTCTGCTCATCTACCAAAAGTTCCTAGCTACTCACCTCATTTTCCAATTCAACAGTCACTAGTTGCGCTTGTACTTTCTCATAGCGTTCCAGTTTTCTCTGGAGACCTTCTACCTCCTCTTTAAGCAATCCATTGTTTTCTTTCATTTCCCTATGGTCGAAAGAGAGACAACAATTAAAGAGCCATGCAACTCAATTCACTCTCACAAACTTCCACATGCACGTGGAATTACAAGGGAATCAAATGACATTGAACCAACATTATGACATTCAACTGACTCATTCTATAACCTTCACTGCAAATCCACTGCTACAAAAAAACCCCACAGCTTGACTGAGCTGATTTTTTTCTACTCTAAGTGCCATCCTAATTATGTCCAAACAACCTGAAGTTTTGTATCAGCTTTACTGATTGGCAAAACAGCATGAAGGGTAGCAAAAGACGCCAACTCTGATCTTCAGTCAGGCTGAATGCAGGGTCGGAACACAGCAAGCGGTGGGCACTCGGGCTTTTTGAGTACTCTCTCTGATGACTGAGCAAGCACTGAGACTGCTTGTTTTTACCTTAATAGACGTGTGCAGGGGGGAGGTAAAATTATTTAAAAAAAAAAAATTACCTCTAATCTGTTGGTATCGTGTTTCTGTGCACCAAAAACAAGCATGAGAAAAGACTCGAAGATAAATAATTTCAAATGATAATGAAATACTAACAAGAACAAAGCCAAGGGAAAATATTTAATTTTAGAATAAGAAAAAGCTAGCAAGATCACTCATGTAATTTAGGCTTTTTATTTAAGATGCACCAAAATATGGAAATTAAGTTTACTCTAAAAAAAAAAAATATATCTTTAAGGCAAGTTATTTCATTGAACATAGGAATTTAATTTTTCAAATTAATTGTCATTTCGGAAACCCAGAAAGTCTATTCTACCGAGGGCTATTATCTGAGTGCTTTAGAAATTTAAACAAAAGACTGTCTGAACATTATGCTGGAACAACAGGCCTTTAAAATAGCGGTAACAATAACTAAGCAAAAACAGTTATTACAGAAATGTTCAGCTGTCTCTTCTCTCTACAGGGATTTCTTTCCCAAACCTGTATACAGTTCATCACAGTCTTTAAACATTGAATTTTGTTCTCACAAATATGTATCCCCATCCAGAACAATCAATATGCTCTTGCTGTGTTCAGGAAGATTACCCAGATCTTGTCAAATCCTCTCATCTAGTAACCATCACAACACTGCTCAAATCATATGCAGTATTTATATGAAATACTTAAATTTCCTTCTGAATTTCCCATATAGAAGCCCAATAGAGGGATGTGAAAGTGCATATAGTGCAATTGGAGCAGATAGAGAAGAACAGAAGATAACCCTCTCAACAACTGAACCCTTCTTTCACCTGAAGTAGGCATTTTCCTCTCTGAGTTGGCGCAATTCCCGCTCCATTTTTGGGAAACGAGCCAATTCTGCCTTCATGTTCTTGACAATTAGAGCATCATGTTCCTGCTGGGAGAACTTCTGTTCCAGATCCTGGAAAACACGGAATGACAAGAGGGAAACAATGACTAACTTGGAACTCCTAAAAGCTACTTTTCTGTTGTACTTTTTAAACTCAAATCAGTGACTTGAATAAAGTTGGAAGGGAATTCAGTAGGTCATCTGGTCCAATACATTGTTTAAAGTAGGGAAGACTCTTGTTCCACTTGTAACACCTGGGCTGGCCTCTTCTCTACACCTGTTTACCCTACATTCATAACAAAAAAAGATCTCTGCTAATCATTAAAAGGACCTTCTTCTAGTGAATAACCAAATCTGTGGTTTTCTTATCCTCTACCCCTCCGTCAATGAAGTGTAGAGAGGGGCACTTGGATGGCCTGCAAGAATTAGGAATGAAAAGAAACACAACTGTGCATTTTAGCATTATGGTAAATGCTGCTCTCTTTTTTTCCCCTCAAAAAAAAAGAAAAAAGAAAGTTTATTTAGAGCAGTACTGCAGTCTGATATCCTGTCTCCCGACCTTTCCTTTCAATGGAGAGTCTCTTGCAATCGCAGAACTTGCAATGAGGCTGGCTCTCAGCATAGCTTTACTTCATGGCAACCACAGGCAATGCCACAACCATCACCTGCTCAAATCAAAGTAACTCCCCACATCCACCTCTCCCAGGAAGATAAAGCAAATGAGAAAGATACGCTCCCACCCACCTACATGTTAATTTGAAAGGACATAAAGCATCTCTGTACTCACATTTAAGTCAGTGTGGTTTTGAAAGCTTTGCAAGTAATTGCACTTTCTAAAAGAGCTAAACCCAACTCCAGGAGAAGGATTTTCTGGGAAGCAAAAAGTAACTGTAGCTGCTAGGTTTGTCCTCCACCTTTTTAAAAAAAGATTGTTCTACAACACTGATGGACTGGGCTGTGGCACAAGATCAAACAGAGCATTCACCCAGAGCACTGCATAAGGATCTAAATCACCTCTCTATAGCAAAAGCATGGGCGGGGGGGTTCCAATCAATCGACTGAACAAAGGTGAAGTGTCATGTTAAAGCTAATTGTTGGTAACCTGGTCCATCCCATTGAATTAAGCCAACTTCTAACTCCTGCTGACCACCAGATCAGATTCTTATATGACAAACTAACGTTTTATTTCTGCAATAGTCATGAAAAAAAAGAAAAACAAAAAAACAAAAAAGAAACACTGTTAATTTATTCCATGGAAGAACAGAAAAACTAAGCTTTGTATAGGCCACAGAATTCTTACCTTAATCTTCTGTTCATATTCCGCCAGTAGAGATTGGCTTGCTTGTAATGTCTGGATTTGCTGACTAGCCTCTTGCCATTTTCTGTTAGATGTAGACAAGAGAGGCATTTAGCACCCAGGAATTACATACCAGAAACAACCTACATGCAAAAGCATCTCTGACAAACATTTTCAAACACCACTAACAAGGTATATGGTAGGGTTACAGAAGATTATCTCTCAAACAGTTTCACACTCATACCACCTCCCTCTAATTCAGACACAAAAATACCCACTGTTACTAAAAATAAGCATTTTGAAAAATACACAAAAATCAAGTCACTGTAACTCTGAAACCAACAAATATACATGCACAGTAAATAAACAGCACCTTTGAAACTGAAGAGTTGAACTTGGTAAGCAGGGAAAAAACACACTTATCTCAACTACCCCATAACTATGATTTATGGCTTGATATTTTTGTTCTGTTCAGAACATAAAGTTCAGATTAGCCTTTCCTATCCAAATGCCTTCTGTAAACTCTCCACCATGAACATGAACACCATGAACTTCATCATTGCTGAAGCTGTTGGTTTTTTTTCTCAAGGTACAATTAAATTGCACCTTGGAGCTAGTCTGAAACAACGGTTATAACCTGCACATCCAGATCAAAGAACCCCTTTGAAGAGTGGAAATCAAACGCTGTTGAAAGTTTTGAGTGACGACAGCTACAGTAGACTGAAGTTTTGTTTGCCTTTTTCTCCCTACAGTCATTCAGCCCCTGCTTACTTATGTTGAACATCCAGCTGTTCCATCAGCTCCTGCTTCTGAGAGTCTTGGCTTGTCATCTGCATCTCTTGGTTCATTATATTCCATTGCAGCTCTGATATTTTCCCTTTTAATATAGTGATTGTCTGAATTAATGGAAAGAAAGAATAAATGCACAAGGCTATGAGTCTCCAAGCTGGACTTTATGGGTAGTGATAGACAGAAATCATATCCAACTAAAAAGTACAAACACTGAATCTAGAAACAATCCCACACTCTTGCAAACCTCCAGACCTGCTAACTCACCTCAAAAACAAAGGCAAGAGAAAATCATTTAGTTGCTTTCATCTGTCACCCAAATTGTCACTTCCATTACCTATTAAGTGGGTGACCTCAAACTGGCATGAAAAATATCAAGCTTCAAAGCTAGATGATGATGAAACACAAGTATATATATATTAAAGTAAAAAAATTATCCCACAACCATTCCAGGTATATTTTGTCTGGGTTTCAAAATTGAAAGTGTCTGGGTTTGCCTCAACCAAATACCAAAAGTATTACGCTTTCCTTAAAAGTAGAGGTCAGTGGTTTTTAAAATTCTGTTCTAAATATCCTAATGCTAAAGAAAAACTCACAGGTTTGTTTGAAATAGCCATTACTCAGCTCCCTTTAACACAAAGAAACAGAAAAATCTCAAAACATTACATATGTGGGGTGCTTTCAAGACAGACACATGAGTGTTCTCATCTTGATACTGATGGATATGGAAATAAAAAAAACTCACACAAAGAGAACTGTTGCATGCATTTCATCTGTGACCTTAGTTTCTCTCACGTGCCATCACCGTCTCCCTGTTTCTAATCCCTGATAATTGGGATGTTAAATCTGTTTACCTGTTTTATCACAAATACATTTCCAGTGACACCTAGGCAGGAGGAAGGCTTAAGGACTTAGCAGTTGTTGATCCACAACTGGTGCAGGAAACCAAATTAAACAGAAAAGTTACAAATTATCTAGCTGAACTTAACTATAATGATATCTCAAAAGGTGGAGTGTTGAGAAGATGGTCTGTTCATACAAAAGAACTGAAATTATTATCCAGGGATTCATTTTACAGTGGAACACCTAGACATACTTTGTACATAACTTTGGTCTAACCCACTCTACAGTTCCCCCTGCTTCCCTGAACACCTTCCCATCTTATCTCCTCCATCATTTCCCCTTTACTCAATGTCACGTAACCTGACTTCTAAACCTAGATGCGGGATGTTGCCTTGCACTTTTTTTCTCCTTCTCCATACCAACCTGTCTAAGAATTCTCTCCTCATTGTTAATTAACACAGCAACATCTTCTGACCTGCTCACTTGTGTCTGGACTTGGTTTGGTTCTAAATTTTGACAGCAAAGATGCGCACCACCAGGGTTTACTCATTTCCAGGTCCTGAACATAGTGATTCCCTTCTTTATTTTTCTTTTAAATCAAAAAGGGCATTTTCAACTCACAAGAACTGCAAAGTCACCTCAAGCTATGAACGGATTAAAAAATTATTCTGTTCTTACTTCATTAGCTTCAGCTAATTTGCTCTCCTTCTCTTGCAGCTTCTTACTCATTGTCTCCATGCTCTTCTTATAGGATTTGTTCATCTCCATTTGTTCTTTCAGTTTATTCTCAGCTTCTGCTTCCCTTTCCTGATACTGTTTTATGCGTGTGAGCAGCTCCTGGTTACGGTCAGCCTCTCGCTTGCAAAGAAAGAAAAAATGCAGAGAGACATAAGAAGAAGGTAGCACAACGGTAAAGCCATTTTCATTTCTACCATGGTCACCAAGGCATCATCATGAAGCAGTTACTCAAAGACCATAGCTTTGACCTTTGCACTAGCAAGGGCAAAAATCTTACCAGCAACGACTCAATGTCAAGAAACTACCCAGGGCAATGGAGCTAGAAAATTAAGAGACAGTCTTCCAAATCTCTTAGACTGAGACGTGAATATGAGAATACAGACATGGCTTCACAGACTCCACTGCACACTCTCCAGCAAAGATGAAAACATTTGATGCTCCAGTTTAAAGCTGACCCACGCATAGCAAATTGACTTTCAGAAACTCAGATCTCAATAGTTGGATTAATAAGACAAACTTGCTTCTGCAGTTTCTGGAAACTGTATGAGGCTATTAAGAAACGGGGTTTAAATGCACAGTAGTATCAATGAATACAACAAATATTTTTGCACTCTGACAACCTTTCATACACCATTTCAGTTTATTCCTACCACAAATTGATTAACACTTATTGAAAAAATGTGTAGTAAGTTCCCTTGCTAATCGAAGCAAATCGAGACGCAGATTTACATAGTAAGCAAGGATTATGCAAAGCAATGTGAGGTTCCTAAAACCTTTATCCACATGACTCAAAACACAGAATCTGAGCAGGGTAATTACTACAGTGCTGGATTAGTGCTGCTCCCTTTTTTTGTACCAGTATTTCAAGGGTTTCTGTGACTGACTCAGCTACATTCCAGTTTGAACTCTTCGAGGCTTAATCCCACATCACCTGACTTCAGAGGAATGAGGAATTTAGTCACTGACTCGCTATTTCACAACTACACATTAAATCTGTCACCCAGCACCCTTGTAAAATACAACAAAACATGCTTATTATTTCTTAAATATTCCTTTTAAAATAATCAGTGACATATAAGACCTTTATTATGCTACAAAACCCACAGATCTACTACTTATTTCAGTAATGTAGTTAAGCAAACATATGCAGGCATAAAACCAGAAACCAATAAAAGCTCTTAGTCCCTGAGTGAGGCTCACTGTTTTATCAGTGCAAGCTCTCTTGTGTGACAGTGCATGGCTGGCACTGCTGCCATTCCAATTAATTACAGTCACACAAACTAAATGCTTGCGATTGTGCCAGTCGAAGTTTAAATTCATCTGGGAGAAAAACGCTTTAATACTTCTGGGAGAAACAAATAACAAATCCCTTTTGTTATTGCTACCCACGACAACTTCAGCACTAAACTAACAGAATCTAGTGATCAGATTATCAGTTTGTCAACCAAACAAGGTTTTGACGTTCACACTCTTAACGTACATTAGCAAGTACGCACAGTGCACTGGGAGGGGATCTGCAGAGCAAAATCTGCTGGCGCTGAGAGCCTGACACCCATGCCACCACCACATATGCGGTAAATGCAAACACAGTAAATGCGTTCTGGGAGCATTTACTATAGATTCACTGAAGTCGTGCTCTGAAGACAATGTCCATTAGCAGCTGGAGAACACTAGGCTTGCTCCTGGACTGCATCTTTCAGATCAGTTTCATCCAAAAAAAGTCAACTATACAGATTCTAAGACCCACCACTGCAAACCAAAGCACAGCACATGAGAATTCAAGAGCACATCCCTGATCCAAACTAAAACACCAATGTAGATGCACTGCGAATGTTCTGACTTAGGCCTATGATATCAAGCCATCTGCAACTGTCATACCTACCTCATAGTTTCTGGCATTGGTATTAGCTGCCTTCTCGAGCTCAATGCGAGCTCGTTTGTGGCTAAGCTCCATCTGCATCTTCTCTCGTTCCACCTGCAGGAGCTGGGATTTGGAGTGGATCTGCCCAGCTTGTTCTTCCAACTGGCCAGTTCATGTGTGAAAAGGGACATTGCACACCATTAACAGCACTGCAACAATATTGTTATCTCCCACCCTGTACTACTCAGCTGACACTTGCATGCCATTTTACACATTACAAGGAAACTATCACCATTTTTATGGTACTTCTCACATCAGCTGCAGATGGGGAAACCAAAAGTTCAACAACACACTCAGAAACCCATATCAAATCAATGTTAGTTGGAAAGATGTGGATTTCAAGTTCTTCATTCAGAATTTCTCATTCAATCTCTAGAGGTACTCTGACAAAATGTACCTCTCTATCTGAAAAAACACTAATTACGAACTCCCCAACCCTCATAAAACTAACAGCAGCTAACCAGCTAACTAACAGCAGCAGAGATCATGCTCCCCAGGAAATTTAACTGCTGAGCAAAATAACACGTTTTTCTACTACCTGCTACAGGTAGCTCTTTAGTTTTTCATTCAAATTACCTTAGAGCACAGACAATAATAGAATACCTCACATCTAAGCACTGTACATTCAACACATAGCTAATGAAGACTCTCTAACCAGAGAGAGCTTCCTCTAACCACCTCTGTAGCCAGAGATGTACTACAAAATGCATAAATTTTTGTCAACATTCCAAGTGCAAAGCAGATTTACATTAAAAAGAAAGCAAGCTTATTTTCTACTTAGAGACTGAAATGGACATTATATTAAGATACAGAATACAGAAATTTCATTCCAGCCTAACAAACAGTCCTTATGATCCAAAATGTCAATTTACTTCATGCTTTATGAGCATAAGGCAGCTTACAGGAAAAAGTTAAAAAAAAGCAAACATGTGGATACGAATAGAAGCGGACAAGAGAGCACAACTGGTTAGCACATCAAAGCTGTAGCACAATGCAAGTCTCCTGCATGTGTCCAGGCAAAGAAACTTTACGGAAGATTGTGAAAAAAGGTAGTAAATTACTTATTAGAAAAATATTAACAGATATAAAGCTCCTTTGTTCAGCAATATGAAAACAACTTACAATTTAATTTCCTGAGCTGGTATACAGATATAACAAGCAGGGAAGAAATTCAAAAGACCTTTCTTAAATTTGTACAAAACAGAAATAAATATGTCTGACACTTCAAAAAAAATTAAAGATTCTAGAATGTTGACCAAACGCAAGCTTCTATTATTGAGCTTGCATGAATATCAATTTTTGAAAGAATGGTCAGATCTTAATGAAATCAATCCTGATTCCTGGAATCAAAAGGAGTCGACCACCACACTGAAGTGATACTGCAGGCATCACCAAGCTGAGGACACCTCACCTGCACCCTCTGCTGGTACTGAATCTGCAAGGAGCTTTGAGACGATCCTGGTGTGGCCAGTCCAGACACCCCCTCCATACGCTGTGAAATAAAGTTGTTGAGGGATCTCAGGGTGGAGAAGACAGTGGTATTATTTTCCAAGTCCTCCATGGCTCTGGAAATACACAGAAAGTCATCAGCAAAACATTCAGAGCAACCTACAGTATACTGGCTGCTGTGCTAAAGAGTGATATATCACTGCCCTGAGGAAATACTAACTGCAAGGTCTTCCAATTTACACAGTACAAAACCCAATCTGCTAGTCTCTGCTGGGATCCACAGGCTACTGCTGGGATCAGCTTGAACCAGAAAACACTATCCAACCAAGCCTGAAGTCGTAGGTCGCTGAAATGTAAAACTGATGCAACGGAGCCTGTTCTTCCCTGAGCTTTCTACCTGAAAGGAGTTGCTTTTATTTAAACACATTCTCCCCTGAATCTCAGCCCATAAGCATACAAATAAGAGCCATCTTAAGCTATACAAAATCGAATTCTCCTTTCCTATATAAACAAGATAGATTTTGGGATACAAGTTAACATTGTAGGACATGAAGATCTACCACACATAACACTAACCAACAGAACTCATTACTCTTTCTCCAAACATTTGAGCCTGATGGGGGGAGGAGAAGTAATTCCATATCAGCAGCAAACCCTACCTGCAACACAACTTGATTCTGGTTTCCAAAAAGCATTTTGGAACCTAACTGCCAGCAAACGAGACCTCCCAAGTTCACAGATCACTTCTGTAAGTAAAACTGTGTCTCCTCATTCACATGAAAGCTTTTACAATTCTTCCTTCAAATTTGGAACGGTCCTAACTAAAAGGCCAAAGACGAATCAAGCCTGGAGCTCAGAAAAGCCTGCAAGGTTTCCCAGGAGACTTCAGGAAGCCTTAAGTGAGTCCCTCTAGTGACTGTATGTCCCACAGAGCCCCAGAAAGCAGTTCAGGACCAGGAGAGGCAACCCACAACATTCACATGGGCTTGTGCCACAGACACAGATTGGAGGCGAACTTCCAGAGTAACACAGTGGTTATTCTCTGGATTTATATCCTCACGAAGAGGAGACATAATGGAAGCATACAGGCAACAGATCAGCCAAAACCCAAATGAAAAACGTTTATTCAAAATACGTAATTCTGTACCACACGCAAATAAATCCAAGAGACCACTGCCCACAGGTAACTGTGCTGCAGCAAACCTGTTTCGAAATTAAGACCCGTGTGCGCCTCTCCCCACCGCAGCGAGCCCTTTGGCACAGGCCCCTGCCCTCACAGCCCTCAGCGCCGCGGGGGTTCGGCCCTCACGGAACCCGCCTCGCAGCACAGCCCTGCCCCGTCTCGGGGG